GAATTTGTGGCGATCACATGACTTATAGGGTATAGGGGGTATGCATTATAGCGCATATGCAAAAAATTAAAAAATTCTATTTTATAATCTTTATTATAATTTTTTTTAAGATTATTAATAAATTTTTAAATAATAAAATTTTAAGATTTTATTTTACAAATTTTTATTATTAAAATTTTTTCTTAAACATACTGGTCTTCTATTCTTGCAAACTATTACTCCTCTATTTAACAGATGCATTACTTCTAATTAAATTCTCAAACAATAGAAAGAAGGAAGAATATTTCTAATTTTCAAAAAACCTATTTTTGATAGTAGAGTTTCAATCTATAAACCATTTATCTATTTATCTATTGGATATCTTATATCTAATAATAATTAGATAAGATGAATTAAATAGATATCTGAATAATCTGATAAATTATCCAGATTGTATACTGTTTTTTAATTAGGATCGATGCAGAGGCAAACATTTTATTGATCAAATATTGATAAGTACTATTTATTTTCTGCATAAGTGGAAATACGAGATAAATTCTATTTAATTCTATTTACATTTCAATTACAGTGACCAACTGATTTTTGATGATATTTGAATGCCTTCTTTTTATGTGAGCCCTCAGGTATGATTCTGATTTTTGTTTCATTGTTTCAATTCAATTCATCAAATTTCAAATCTATAATATCACTTTTAACAGTTTGATCAATACAATTAAATTTGTGCCTGTAACCTTCCGAATTTTCATTATCTACCATTTGAATATCAGATATATGTACTTTTCATCAGGTCCTTTTCTATTAGCATTCTTTTCATTCATCTTACTAATGATTTTATTCTTTTTTCTTTTGCCATTATTCATCGTCAATTCATTTTTAACACACCTAATATCTATGAATTGGTTTCTTCTTTTGCCATCACATTCTTCAATCACTATTTTATCAATCACAAGTTCTTCTGCTGCGCACTAACAAAATAATTTAATTGCAAAATTTTAATTTTATCTGCCAACTTTAATTTGTAATAGTTGAAC